AATGTCATGTCATGTCATGTCATGTCATGTCATGTCATGTCATGTCATGTCATGCAATGTCATGTCATGTCATGTCATGTCATGTCATGTCATGTCATGTCATGTCATGTCATGTCATGTCATGTCATGTATGTGTGTATGTGTGTATGTGTGTATGTCTGTATGTATGTATGTATGTATGTATGTATGTATGTATGTATGTATGTTTATATACATACATATATCGAGGCCAAGGTACAGTAATTTACGGCCCGCAGACCCGAGTCTGTGTCTGGGTTTCGCCATGCTCCTGAGGGTGAGAGTCGCCTCTCTAACTCTTTACGCTGAGAGCAAGCGCAGCCTTGACAACTCAGCCCTGAACCCTAAACCCGCCCGTCGAAACGAAGAACCCATGAACCCGTGTAGTCCTAACTCCTCAAGCGCTAAATAACCCTATAAACCACTCAAACGTACACCCCTCAATTCATCAAGGCCTAGAAGCCTCGACGCTTCCCCGAAGCTACACCCTCACAAACCCCCAGAGTTTCTCAAAGACTCCTCCAAATCCCTAAAACCCTATGTACCAGGACCCTCCTTGTACCGTCAGATAGGGGTACATGGTCTCAAATAAGGTTTATTCAGGGTCAAATAGAGGGTATACAGAGGGTCTAGGTATCCCTGAAAATTTAAGACGGCCATCAAACCCACACGAATTCAATCAGCTTCGGTCAAGGCTGAAGGAGGGAGCCGCGACGATTCCGGAGGAGCGGCGCGCCAAGGTTCCTCTCCTCATCTTCGGCACGGCTGGGATGAGGCTTCGAGGGAAGGGTTCAGGGTTTAGGGCGGGAATGAAGGTTCATGTTTGGGATTTAGGGTGCTGAGGGCGCACTCGAAGGGTGTTTTACGCGTTCTGCTACGGATTGGATCGCGGGATTTGGGGCTGTGGGGTTCCAAAAAGATGCTAAACCCCATCATGCCCCTGAATATAGACACCCCTCATAGGACCCTCAAAGGACCCCCCCTCAACGGAACCCAACTCTAAGTGTTCTAAGGCCCCATAATACAATTCTACGACTCCCAGCCCCCCTATCCTCCTAAACCCTAAACCCTAAACCCTAAAATCCTAAACCCTAAAACCCTAAACCCTAAACCCTACCCCCCTAAACCCTCCTCGGAGGCTGCTTCCTGCGGGGGAGCAGAGCTCGATCTGGTCCACGCTCCATGCGCAGCTCGCCGGAGCGAAGGACTTCCCCTTCGACCAGGGCGCCTTCCAGGCTCTTCCGGGGGTTTTGGGGTTGAGGGTTTAGGGGTTTATAGGGTTTTAGGATTTTAGGGTTTAGGATTTTAGGGTTTTAGGGTTTAGGGTTTAGGGCTTAAAAATTTTGGGTTTAGGGTTGGGTTTTTTCGTAGGGTTGGCATAGGGTTCTATAGAAGTTCCGCAGTGGATTTGCATAGGATCTCGTGCTTCCGGTGGAGCAATCTAGGGTTCTTGATTGTGGTGCTTGGTCAAGCTTGTGGTATGATGATGGGCACCAAGGGAAAAGAGCTTCGTGGATCAAAGCGGCAGGATTTCCGGCTGCTACTAGTATATCATAGTGTGACAATCGACACGTGAGCCCCAGTTCACACCCATGTGCTACTGTATGTCATGCGCTCAGTTAGTTTCATGCGCCTATAATCAGAGTTTCAGCGCGACATATTCTGGAACCCTGTGCCTGGAAAGCCAAATGAACACTAAACGTCACTAAACTCTTAGCAGTATACCTCGCATGCGACAATCGGCCATTGCTGTTGTTGAGGCCGCTCTCTAAACCCTAAACCCTAAGCCCCAAAACGTAAACCCTAAACCCTAGGTGTTGGTGTTGTTGAGGCCCTGAGCCCCAAAACGTAAACCCTATACCCTAAACCCTAAACCCTTGGCGTTGATGAGGCCCGCACAGTCAGCGGTGACGAGGAGGGCCTTTGGGCCGTGCTGGCCACCAACTTTCTGATGGGCCGGATGGGCCACGACTTGTAGCTCGTGTGGCAACCCAAGGGTTTAGTTGTTTAGGGTTTTAGGGGTTTAGGGTTTAGGGGTTTAGGAAAGCTTAGGGGTTTGCGGTTTATTGAGCAAGTTGGACAGATAGGTTTTGTGCGACAAGCGGCTCAGGCCGCAACTTGTTTAGCGGTGTCCCTTTCTCCGCTTGGCAGGGAAGTTCTGAACCTCATCAGCTGAAGCCATAAAATAGGGCGTCCTGGATTAGCAATCTCCACCCTCAAGGAAAGTACCCTGAGTTCTGGCCAGGGATGCTCTCGAATCCTGAAAACGAAACGCCACGTCCCGATCTTCAATCTGAGGTTTAGGCATTTACCCTCGCAGCAAGTACTTCTAGGTCTCTCGAAGGCGAGCACCCAAAGGTTCATGTGAGCATTAGTTGGAAAGGAATCCGGTTCCTCCCGACCCATGCTTCGTGGTTCGGCCGTTTCTGTTCCCTGCGCTCCCCTCTACGAGCTTTAGTCAACCCTCTCATTCCTATGAGGC